ACAGAAGCCAGTACTTAAGAGTCAGTCCTTCCAGGCTCTGTAGGTGCTCAGTGCCACGCTGAAATCTCATAATCATTTCAGATAGAGTGCTCTTAAAACTCTTGGTCACTAAACACACTTTTTCCAAAATCAAAGACCCAGATTATTCAGTGGAACAAAGAAAGGAATGAAGGTATATCAAGCAGTAGGAGCCTGTTCTTAATTTTAAAATTATTTCTATAGCTTAGACTAGTAAAAATAAAAGATGTTTAAAAATGGATATTTCCTAAATCTTAGACTGCTTTTCAAAAAAGCTGTTCATTATTCTGAGCATTTTTCTTCTACTAAAAATTTTCAGTGACCTAAATATAAAAGATCACATAGAATAACGTCTCAAAACCAGTGTCATTCATGGAAGTTAATTTTGGCAGCACTAGCTTATGTAGTCCATTACATTTTCTTTCTCCATTAAATTTTATTAAGTCCTGGTATTTTTGTTGGTTTCTGGGTGTCATCAGTTTTAACTAGTATTGCTTTTTTTTTTTTTGCTGAGTTTGAATATTTTTAATCTATTTCTTTTGTCTCTCTTCTTACCAAATGCAAGTAAAGAAAATAACTTAATTTTCATCATAGTATGTTTACCATATAGTTGCAATCCTCTATATAAGTTAAAAGCAAATTAAAATGTATTTTAAATTAGATGGAGATGTGTAGAAAGATAAAGCTGAAGAAACTGAAGCAGGCTAATCATAAACGAAGCTAATAGCCTAATTACAAAGCTTATCATAAAAAAACAAAGCCCAAGAATAAACATAAAAATCTAAACAAAGGGAAAAAACTTGTTTTCTTATTCATCCAGGCAGACACAATCACATTTGAACCCTTACACATTTCACAATATCTGTACACCTGAGGCTGTTTGACCTTGGCTTGTTACTTGGCCATTCCTCAGTGCCATATTATAGGATGGGATGTCTCAAAATTCTGCTGCTGAATTAATAACGTCAGGGAAGAAGAAACTGTATCAACCTAGTAAAGACCTTTTTTTTTTTTTTACTCTTTACTGTCCATCTGCTTGGGTTAAGTATACAAGATCAGCATAAAGGACAATCTTATCCCAGATATTAGTGTTATTAATCTTCCATTCTACCCACATTGAAAACACTATGTGACCAACAACCAGTAAACATAATATCACTGATTATTGTTTAGAGAGGCCATAAGCTGCAAGGAATAAAGCATTGCTGGCAACGATACTACCCTATAAAAGAACCTTAAAAGCTAGCACAAAGTAAGCTGAACTACTGCAAATAATGTTGAATAACTTCTAAAAAAAATATTCAAAGTATAGACAGGACCTTGGTCTATTCCACCAACTGTGTTTAAGGAAGTCATCTGTCTGCAATTTGCTTCTCGACCCTCCACATGATATGAAGAAATGACACAGAAGTTCTTTCAACATTGACCCTTTTTTATGTTGTTAAATTGCTTACAGAACACTGGCAAAAATCTTAAGTTTTGTCCAAAACCAAGGGGTTGAACCTATGGTGGAAATCAGAGATTTATTGTAAATAATGTCTGTACTTAACAAATGTTAAGTTTTGACAAATGCTATGAAGATACGTCAAATTCTTAACTGGCAGTATACTTCCATTTAGCTTAAGCAATCAAAGGTAAAGAGATGGGGAGTGTGGGCGAGGAGAAGAGGACAGATATCCTGATATCTGCTTGGAACAATCTCTGCTCCCCTTGGAGTTCCTTTGTTTTGGCATGTTTTGTTTTGAGCTTCAAGAACTCTGCAAATGGGTGTTCCCAGCTTCTGGCAGCCATATGTGCTGCCTACCATCTGTTTTCATTCCACTGTGCTATGGAGACAAACATACTTTATTTTTAGTGCTCTACATTTCCTGATGTTGCACATAATAGGGATTTTATCTCACATCTAAGCCACTCCATGTGAAACGTCTTCTGGGGATAACTGATGAGTAAAGGTGGCAGATTATCACACAGGATCAGGTTAATTAATTTTCATTACCTACATTACCTACGGTGCAGGTATATAATTTATACTGAAGTTTGCTTGATTCCTGTATACCTGTGCTTTCTCTCTACGCTGCCTACAAGGGGTTTCCTTCTTATGTTTTAAAGACACATTTTCCCAGCAACTTCTC